GTGGAATTCTGTGTATTACAAAGTCGTATCGAGAAAGAATAAAGTAGTTTTAATCAAAAAGGGACTTGTATCGCTGAAGTTCCTCAGAAAGAAGTTATACCGGAAATTAACAAACAAGCAGATACGTAACACTATGATATACACCCACGCTTTATCTAGTCATAGAACGAATACACCTTGTTTTCTATGTTTATTGTTTTGAGTAGAAATAATATACTATGGTAGAGCCGAGAACTGAAACAATAAAGACCTGTGTTCTCCATAAACATGAAATAGATTATAATCAACAAGTGATATGACGACAAAAGAAAGGCGGTTGCAAGTGTAAGAGTATTTAAGGAATATATAAACATTTGTTGTGAAAGTAAATTTTATGATTCAAATATTTAGAATTGTTCTAAAACTTCCCTTTATTTTTTTATTAATGAAATGAGAGATTTGATTCTCACACAAAAACAATTAGAGGGGCTTGGAAAGTTTAGATCTCAGGTATAGTGTAAATGTGTCAAAAATTATGGTAACTAATGGAAAAATGCTCTTTGTATATTTTTCATTGATACATTTTTATGAATATCGTCATGCTTATAAAAAGAAGAATAGTTCGTCTGAGATTTTTAAGTTAACAAATTTCAGATGAAAAGTTAAAGGTATTAACTGTAATAATAATCCATAAGTATTTTGCTAACTTACAAAGTTTAAGATAGTTTAGAAAACAGCTTAATAAGAAGCTGTATAGATGACAGAGGCTAATATCAAAATTATAGATATCATTCAGTTGAATTTCAAACATAAAACACTGTTATGTCATTGTTTGGTAAACTCTAAAATATTGAACATAATTATTATCTTCTAAGTGTGAATCGTTATTGAAAATAAAAGTAAAGTTATGATATTAATAACGTCATATTTTACGCTTCCATAGAGTAGAATATTTTTTTTATAATTTTTTATTCAAGTTTGTGCATGTAGATACTACCCTCCTGGTGACCTGAATGTTCAAAGGTCCGGAATACGAATGTATTAGTGGGAGATTTTCTTCCTCGTATATGTTTATGTGGCATAACAGCAAATCTTGGAGTTAGTCAAGAAGTTTCCCAGCAACAGATAAAAACTATCTACACTCTGAGACTGCAGCCAGCAGCTGATGTAAATGTAGATTGACAAGATGACGTATATACCTGTACATTGCACCATTCTGCTACAGACTTCACCTGAAGACACTGTATTTATCAGGATTCGTACGTCTCTGGACTTTTGAAGAAGGTGATGCAATATTTCTTAACCACCTGTCTCTAGAGAAGCTGATAATTAGAATGTGTACGCACCATCAGTTAATGATGGTGGTGAAGTGAAACATATAAATCCAAAAATCTTTAAGGAGATGGCAGTACAAAAGTAAAACAAGAACGGTTAGAATACTTAGTTATTGAAAAATCGATTATTAAAAGGAAGTCGCATTCCTTGTTTTCCAAGCTATTAAGTGGTGGTCTACAGTAAGATGCCTACTAATCTTGTTATCCTTATTTTTCAAGCCATCGACTGATAGTTGGCAGTGAATAATTGGTCAGCTATCTTATAATCTAGCTGAGTTGTAAAAGAATTTCTGCACAGCAAACTGCTCGAAACTCGCTAAATACACAATTAGGACAGATGAGGTTATTAGATAAGAAAACTGACTGTTGGTCTTAACATTTGATGGCTGGGATTTCTGGAAAATCGATTTGTTGAAATGACTTTCCAATCCTTGCTTTATGAGCACACACGTGAAGTTTTGTTGATGGACATTTGCTGCTACAAACTTTCTGATTGAATTCACAATGTTGGTTATAAGATGACGCAAATTAGTGTTGCGTTTTCTTGCAAAACTGCATTTTATGGCCTTGTAGGTCTCTACTAGTCTTCCTGAAGTTCACTAAGGGAGTTGTGCTCTAACACAGTTTGAAGAAGGAACTTAAGGTGTATAAATCAATGAAAATGTAAACCAGTTTCTTAGATTTATGTTTGAGTTATTTTGCATATTTATCTAAAGTATCGTGATATAATTTGAATTGGAGTAATTTAACTCTTAAGGAGGTATCTGAACTCTTATAAGAAGATAACGCAACTGACGTTAGCTTTGGTTACTGTGTAATCCAAGCTAGCCACAGAACGGGTGACGCCTTTTATTGCAAGTATGCATTGGCTAGCATCTGAAGATGGATACGTGTGTGCGAGAGCATAGGCGTGTTTTCCGTTATGTACGAACCAGTTGGTACATACTTAAACATGTTCACGAATGTGATATATATAGGAGTGCAACTTTACAGGCAAATAAAGACTTTGACATGAAATACTGATATTTGTTTTGCTTTTTAAGAATTGCAGCAATTAGTTTAGACCGCTTTGAGAAAGAAACTGTGTGTTTTCTTAATGCAGTGAAAAATATTTACAGTTTGGTCCCAAACTGGAATATTCGTAAGCTGAATGATAAATACGGAATTTCTTGAGATTTTAAACCACACCAAGTACATGGTGGACAGATTGTTTTCACTGGTTTGCTGCAGGAATATCTTGTAGTCGAAGCAACTGGTATGGGAATTAATCTTTAGAAGTGGAATCAGAATTAGTTGTTTGTTCAAAAAGAAAGAAAAAACCTAATGCTCCTTTGTTTTCGAATAGTTTTAAATGAGAAATACGTTTGATTTATACAACCAAATAATTTCTGAATTTTGTAGATATTACTGAATAATGTTTCATTTCAATATTATTTCTGAACCAGATAGGTGTAATATACGAATTTTGTGTTAATTTCATTTAATAATAATGTGATGACATAGCTCTTGTGTTAACTACACTAATATAACTCCAGATGTATTCGTGAAAGCAAGCACGACTATCTCTATTTAGTTGAATTATGCTTACTTGTGTCAGAAGGCAAATTGGAATTGTAAGTAAACTGGTAACATTTTATATGCGCCTTGTGGGGGTTGTGTCTTAGTATAGGCATATATTTGCCCATTGCTGTGCATTGTATATAGAGAATTTAGTTATACAGAAACTATAAATGCTTACTATATTCTCAAACAACTCTCCACGACAATCTTCAGCTTACAGCTTAACATTTTGCATCTGGAACTAATGCGATCAAATAGTCAGTAACTGGAGATACTGTAGACATTATTTCCTCAAGCTACAAATGCATATTTTGACTCCACCAAATATAATTCTAGGTAACAGCATGGAGCCAAAATGTTTTTTTTTAGTTTTGAGTAAATAATGTCTACAGTATCTCCAGCCTTGTTTCCTTACTTTGTAATGATCCTTATTTGCAGGTTTATAAATTCCCAATTTTTTATTATATTGTCATATACTATGGAGAGAATTTATGTGTTCACGTGTTTAATATATAAATAATATTACAGTATAAGTTCACACAGATAGCGAAGAATATTAAATACTGTTTATAGAAGGTCAGGACAACACTCATGGGTATGATGATGTTAAAAATAATATGTATATTGATATCGTTCACGCGTATCATGTAACTGAAAAAATTAACAATTTTCTTTTTTGCCACCTAGCACGTATTATGAAAGATACAAACAGTTATTCATGATCCATCATACAAAGCGTTGAGTTGTGTTAATGTTATCTGCAATTCATGCGTTATATATTGATTCTGTTTAAATTACTCAAGTGCTAGTATTAGGTATTAATCTTTTTTCATTTTTGTTATCTTCAACAAGTGATTAATATATACTTTTAAGTTTTTGTATAAAAATTTCTACAATTATTGTATATATTATGTTAGGCCTAGCGTGATACCGCATTGCTATTGTGGGACTTATTGTTAACTTCATTCTTACTAAAGTTAATAAATTTTTTTACTTCTACTTCCTCTAAGTTCTAGGCAGTGTGTTATTGCCAGTGAAAAAGCATATAGGATTCTGGTTTGTACTTACAAGGATACTGACTGTCACTGTCAGTCAAACTCAAGTCAAAGGAAGTTCTCGTTTACTTGAACAGATCTCTGATTACAAATTAGTTATTTACACTCTACAGATTAGACTTTATTTAGTAAATCAGTAAATGATTTAGAATTAAAGTAATGTATTATGCTCAGTCTTGGGCTCCATACTTTTTAAGGACATTGATGAATAATTTATTGGAAAGGATTTAGAGGAGAGTTACTAATTATAATAGTGATAGGGTGATTTCTGGGATATAACTGTCATATAAGAACAGTTTAAGGTACTTAACATTATTTTCTTTTATGAAGAGTAGGGTTAGAGAAGATCTCATTGAAGTGTTTGAAATTATAATGAATGACTAAATAGCATTGATGCATCATATTTTTTCGTGTTCAACCTTATGTGTGCACAGGTTGTAGTCAAAGCGTGCATATCATGACCTTTTAGTTTTACAGTGTTATTCAACACTATTATGTATTTGATATCAGAGTTATCAGCTATTCATTTCTTACTCTATATTGCTGATTTAGCAACAGTTCATGGTAGAAGAGGGTACCCGATACTGTATATGTGGGATACTGAAAAAAACTAGATATGGATTTTGGAAGTTCTGAAGGTTATGTAATATGCAAACTTTATGATATACAAAAGTATTTTAACGCTTCACAAAAACATCACCATAAACTCTGACTTGTCAGAGTCTGAGTTAGACTGATGTCATCAATTCACAGACATATCTTGAGTACAGATATTTTTGTAACTTCTGATTTTTTGTGTACAATAGACCTGTGCATTTTATTGATATGAAATAAATTTAGAATTATAGTCAGCATTCTTTCTCCATTACTGAAGCTGTCCAATGGATAGACGAGGACTAAAGGACAGATTTAACTTGACAGGGTAGCAGTTGCTGCAAATTAGGCAATTTTATTTTTCTAACAGATTGCATTCAGATGTGGTGGAAGCAACAGGATTGGAAGAGTTCAAGAGAGAGCTTGAGTATTTGGGGGTTGAGGTTGGATATAGTCAAATGGAGTTTTGATTAAATGAATGGGACAGTAACAAGGAGCCCCCTAGTATCGCTTAAGTGTTGTATCTAAATTACAGCATACATTGCTATAACATAAACTTAAGTACATATAATTATTATTCTTAACTTTGTTTAATGCGAACTCATGTTTATTAAGAAGTATTTCTATTATGGTAAATAAAATGACCTATATCTCTAAAATGTATCTTTATTAGCTCAATATTTCACTATTATACCTTAGTTAGGAGCTGTCGATATAACTTTGGTATCAAACAGTCACTATATATCAGTCCATGAATTTAAGTTTAAATGTGACTTTTGACTTTCTCATGTTTATTAACAATATTATTGTTTGTAACTAATCCTACAGTAGTGCAGATACCATCTGTGCTTTACCATTTACAATGTTGCTCTTTTTTTTAGTTTATTTTGTATAAAATGGACATATTACCCAATATTTACCAAAGGTGACAGAGCTTATGTTTTCACTGCTATGTGTGCATGTTTGTGTGTTTGTCTGCAATTTTTCTCGAAAATCACTGAATGATATTGAATGAAAATTGGTATACATTTGGACTATGATGCAACTTAGAAGTGATTAGTTTTTAGAGGGTTAAGAGTCAAAGTCACGAAAATACAAAAGGTTTTTATCTGTTAACATGGGGAAAGATTTTTCACACTAATTTTGCTCTATGATTCAGTGAAAAATGATCAGATTTTTTGCGGGACTGAACATGATCAACACTGTGCTGCATAGTGGAGGTATGTGCTCTACTGTGTACCCTTCTGGTTCAAAATATGTTTTAACTCTTTATACCTATGTGTAGGGCTTGGATGTTTTCTTGGTATAAAATGTATGTTTTAAAATTATTTGGAAATTTAATATTTCAGGCCTAGACAATATTAAGAGCAGTTTAAGTAAGTCCCGAATTATTTTAAACACCTGAATCAGGTCACTTCTAGTTGTTCTATCCTGCAAAGAAAATAAGCTCAAACCTTTCAGTCTCTATGCATATTTTAAATGTTTCAAACCAGGAGTAATTTTGGAAGCTCACGTCTGATCTTTTTTTTTCAAGTAAATGAATGTATCTATTATAATAAGGGGACCAAAACTGAATAAGAGTACTCCATATGAGGCCTTACTATAATTTTGTACAATGCATTTTCCACCACATATAAACTAAAAATATCTGTAATTAGATCACAGAATTGTGTTTGTCCTTCTCAAAACTTCCAAACATTCAGCTGAAGGCTTGACTTTTTTTCATTTATCTTAATGAAATTCTCCTTACTTTACACACTAATATTTCTACCACATAAAAAATAAAGATTTTACAAATTTCCATAATGTGAATGCATGTCTTTATGTTTTTCAATTTAGAAATTAATTTTTCACAGATAAGACCACATGTCCTTCTGCATTAGAATTAGAACATGATTATAAAATTTGAGAACTACAAGGGACTATCCCATCCACCAAACTAAACTAAAATTCTCAAAGCCAGTCTTTATCATTCAAATACTTACCAAGACTTCCTTCAAATTTACTACATCCACCAAATCTGAAGGCAAACCATTCCAACCATCCTGTTAAAAAAGTAATATAAAATAATCAATTGCCTATGAGCATTGATTATTGCCATATAAGCTAATCTATTAATTAAAATTAGTGTTTTTGATTATTACTGTTTTCAGTTACTCCAACAATAAGTTAATTAAAATGTATTTGATCAAGCCCAAGGTCTCATATATAGATTTACTCTAATCCTGCCTAAAAGAATTTCAAATTGAGGGTAGCCTGATAGAGATCCTGATGAGTAATAAAATCAAATTGGGTATATGCACCACCCCATGCTTGGTATTTTTTTTGCTTGTATGTACCATGGTTTGAGGAGCATTGTACTAATCAATTAACAGTTATCACTAATTGCCTGTCTTAGTTGAAGTTGACAGCTATCCTGCCAAAATTTGTGTCCCTTAGATATTCCATCCTCACTATTTATTATGAAAAAGATGATTCATTTACACTATCAGTTCTCTTAACAATCTTAAACACCTAAATCAGACCCCTGTAACTTTTTTTTTAAGAGAAAATTTTAAAGATCTTAACCTGTCTTCATATGACAACTTTTCCATCCTCTGAACCCTTTCCAAATATTTAAAGTAAGAGTGAATACAGTATTCCACACATGCTCTAACCAGTATCCTATACAATGAAATTATAAAGTCTGTAGACTTGTATTCAGTGTTTCTGTAGATAAAACCTAAAATCCTATTTTCCCTACTATAGCAACAGCACACTGCTTGGATGATTTAAGACTGATCAACCAGAACACTTATGATCCTTTTATTCTATAACACTGTTAAGGTTATTCCCATCAAAATTATATTTGTAATTCAAGTTAAGGCAAACCACATACATTATGTAGCATTTATTATTATTAAAATCTATCTGCTATATATTTGTCCAGTTCACCAAATGATCAAAATCCTTTCGCAAAACAGCAGTATCCTTCTCACAGCCAGCAACACCCAAGATCTTCATATCCTCAGAAGTATAACCATTTGCTGAACATTACTTCATCTAAGCCACAGATCTAAATCAAAAAGAGCAAAGGTCTTAACACAGCCCTGAGGTACTCCACTTGTGACATTAATTCAGTTTAATTGAACTCCACTTATAACATCCCTCTGTTTTCTTCCCTCCAGCTACCTTCATATCCAATGAGACAACTTATGCCTACACATATAGAGATTTTTTAACAATTCTTTTATGTGGCACCTTGTCAAATGCTTTAAGAAAATCCAAACACATGAAATCTATACTCTTACCCTTATCTACATGAGCATTAACCTCTTTCAAGGAATGTGAAAAGAATAGTAAGGGAAGATTTTTCTCTAGTAAAACCATGACTATTCAGCAAAATGTTTGTTAAATGACTGTATAAAGCATCTTTTATCAGACTTTCAAAAACTTTTCCCACCATTTATGTAAGGCTAATAGACCTATAATTACTAGGACAATTTTTATCACCTTCCTTGCAAAGATGAGTAACATTAGACAACTTCCAATTCTCTCATTACGGTGCTCGACTCACAATCTGAATCCCCATCTCACCAAACATTCTTATCCTTTCAACTGTCAAGGCATTTTATCATTTGATGGTCAATCCCACTACTCATTGGTATATGAGTAGCCCAAGAGTTTGTGGTGGGAGGTGATGACTAGCTGCCTTCCCTTTAGTCTTTCACTGCTGAATTAGGAAAGGCAAGTGCAGATAGCCCTTGTGCAGCTTTGCACAAAATTCAAACCAATTCACTGGCACCTACCCACTATTCAAGGACTTATAAAAACTAGCAAGTGGCTTGCATAACCAATTTTTAACCTTCTTCAAAACATTTGGAGAAATATCTGACCTAGGAGCCTTATCATTTTTTTAAACTTTTCAATTTTTTCTTAAACTCAGAATTAGTGTATTCATCTTGTTTCCATCTAGCAACTGTTGAAGAAAAGGGATAACTGATTAAAGCTATATTAGTAACAATTGAAGAAAGAAGTGAAATTTCCAGATGGGAACATTCTTCCTTTATCAGGCTTCAATTACTACTCTCATTCTACCATTATGGCCCTTAATAAGTTTAAAGAAATCCTTGCTGTTAATTTTTGCATTTTCAGCCACCCACTGTTCATATACCCTTTTCAGAATAGTAATTTTCTGTTTGACCAGTTCTCTTGATCTTCTATAACCCTCTGTATTCCATCATAGCAGTCAATTTAAACTTCTTATACTTATGATGTTTTTCCATGATTTTATCCTTTTTTGAATCAACCTGAATTTTGTTTTTACTTGGAACTACCTTTTTTTTTATAAGAAACATTTCTGTCTTGAACTTTAAAAAAAAAATCCACATTTTATCAGTATGTCCAATTAAAAATGTCCATTAGCTAAGTTAAAACAACAAAAGTTTAAAGTTAGATCCATTAGTGATCTCACTTGTCACATTTATCACAACTTTCCATATTCTTCCTTCATACTAATTTAAATCTATGGTTTGAGTTTTTTTGCCAGTTCCAGAAGAATCTAACTGATTAACTTACCAATTATGAGAAACTGTAAAGAAAGCTTTCTGAAAGTCTAGATGAACAACATAATCAAATACTTTAATCCCAACTTGCAAAACTCTTGCCAAAAAATCCAACAAACTAGTGAGAAATTTTTTTTTTCTTAAACCACAATGAGAAAATATCATTACCCCACCCAAAACTCATTACTTTGTTTAAATATGTAGGACTGTTTTCATCAAGTCTATGAATTGTATGTAAGATTTCCAAGCTTTTTAAAAACATAACTTTTTTTTTAATGATAAATTATCTAAGAATAGCTTTTCCTCATCTTTAAAAAAGGTTAAATAGCTTCCAGTTGTCTTGTCTAAATGACATACTGAAGTTTATTGATAGGACATTTGCTTTTTTTGTGTGAAAATAACTTGGTCTATGTTGTACATATCTGGATTTTCAGAATGCCTTCAATATTTACCAACTGGAAGTTAATTAGAATCATATGATATTAATAGAAGTATTGAGAAGTGTATATAAAATTAACTGTGTTGTAGAAAGCAAAAGGTGACATTAGTTTTTTGTTTGATTTTTTCACTTGAATAATTTGACCATTTTTTTTTAACTTGTGTGATATAGCCCTTTGACAATGATATTTATCAATTTATAGATATCGCTAACATGCTGTGAAGTGTTGAATCTGTTTAGAGTGTTTTTCTTGCTCAGGAAGACCTAAATTGTGATTTAGGTAGAACATTGAAAAGTGTAAAGTGGAGCATTTGGATTGTAAACATTATGTAAAGGGCATGTTTTATGAGAGAAGTGTTATTATTCAAAAATAGAAGGTTTTGGCTATCATTGTTAAAAAAAACTTTAAGCCTTAATTTAAGTGTGACAAGTCCCTAGAATCCATTCATAGTAGATTATAATACTGGTCAAGCCTCATTTTGAATACTCAAAAAGGATATAAATTGCTCAAAATATACAAACTTTTGGAATGTTACCTAGTTTTATAAATTTGATCTGTGAAAATAGACTTGAATATTTAGATTTTTTTTGTTAATGAGTGTCAGACCTAATTTTTGCTTGCTTCATACAAGTTCTGTTTAGCTAAAAATAATTATTCTAAAACAGATACATTCTCCTTGTGATTACTTACTCGGAGAACATAACCTACTTCTATGTGACTGTTCAGATAACAGATGTGTAACTAACAGAAACATACACCCATTTCAAGCTGGAGTTTGGGATGCTACTATGCTTTTTTATTAAGCTGTTTGAAAGAAAATTAACATTAAATTCAAGGTTTATGACAGCCCAACTAATAAATATAGAATAGCATATTATTGACTAACAATTTTAGGTAATAGACTCCCCCTAATAGCCCCCCAATGGTACAGTGGTATTTATGCAGACTTACAATGCTAGAAACTGGGTTTTGATACGTATGGTGGGTAGAGCACATATAGCTCGTGTAACTTTGCACTTAATTACAAATACACAAAATCCCCTTGTATTAATTCACACCAATCAATTGCATTTCAGAACGTGTATATTGCAACACTGACAAGTCTGCTCCAGTTTAATAATCATTTTGTAAACAAGGTGATATTCAACTTACTACTGAATTTGCTTCTATCTCTGTCAGCTTATTTAACTCTATAGTTGCTATCATAGTATTAACAAATTATATACCATTTTCTTATGAAAAATATACTGCAGAGATTTCAACATTTAATAGTACATCTGATCCAATTCTCACCACTCTCTCACACACACACACACACATGTATACCAGTTTGGTGGTGTTAATTAACTGAACAAATTGGTTTGTTATTTGTTAACAAGATCATAGTGACTGTGAAGCTAAGTCTAAAAACAGTATGACAGAGATTTAAAACGAAACGCTTAAATATTTGATATACAGTTTTTTCTCTTGGACCTGTGTCTGGTATGAAAACATATGTTTAACAGTCATATGACTATGGGATAACTGAAAGTGGTTAAGCTAAGGATACATAAAATATATACATGAAATCAGAAATTGATATGCAAGAAATGCAGTTTTGGTATCATGTTTCGAAACATTTTGCTCGGGAAGCATACCCATAGACTTCTCTATTTTGACAAACAATACATGTACACGCTGAAGTTTGTGATTGTGGCTACACTAATATACATTATATATTCAAATATATTTGAGGTGAAGAATAAGCACTAAATGCATGTCACATGTAATAAATTCCTAAAATATGAACCTCTTTGTGGGTGAGCTTTGACTGGTTTAATCATGACAGTTCAAAACAACTGCTAAAGGTGTAACCCATAACAATAGTACTATGAACCCCAAAGTTGTATCAAGTGAATTAGTGGAAAACATGAACTATGGATATGTATATATATATATTTATTTATTTATTTACTGATAAAAGTTTATTGAAACTTAACAGCACAAAACCATAAAAGCCTAAAAACATTTGAATAGCCTATTAGTAGAGAAATATATATGTATGTGTGGATGTTGCACTGTTGTGCAGAATTGTTAAGACCTGGAAAAATGTATATTATGGGTCTCAAAGGTAAGGTAGTCTATAAAAATAAAGCATTAAAGGTGCATGAAAGCATATAAAGACAATAAGATACTTTAACTACCATACATTCACCAGGAATAAGTATTTTTAATTTTGGATATGTGCAAAAGTGCTTTATACATTAGTGGATAACATTGAATACATGAAGAGGTTTTAAATCAGTTTGTTTTTACTGTTGAGAGATTGTGATTAATATTATAAACTTGAAAAAAAAGTGTAAGTAAATGATGATATTTCAGTACATGATTAATGTATTACATCATGTTTCATCCGTTTCTTTTTTTTTCTCCAGCAGAATACATTTACTTTATTCAGAAGCTGCATGTTTACTGATTGGACCCAGTGCATCTACGTAGTGTATATAGACTAGTTAAAGAAGAAATGAAGCCTTAATTTTTTGGCACCTGAATCAATATATTCCTGCCAAAGAGGAAATGGGCTAGGCAAAAAAAAAACCAACTGTTGGATGTCTGTATTATCTTTTTTTGGTTTCAGAAAGTTTGAAAGATCCAATTCAAAAAGCTATATGGAGATATTAAAAAACTTTTATTGCTCAGGATAAGAGTTTTTATGGTTTGTCGTACTAAATGCAACAAGAAATTTGAGTTTAAAAGTTTGCAAAAGTAGACCTTAAGTTTGGATTTAGGTGGATTATTTGTTCAAGACAAATGCTGTTTAGTATTTGAAATCGTTAGATCATCTGAAATACTTCTTTGGCTTTAGTAAATGTCAAACAAAAATCTCTTTCTTGCATTCATCTTGAAATGCAGTTGAAAACTTAGAATGTATTTTGTCTTAACTGTTGTTTTGAAGAAGGTTTTCTAGTTTCTTTTCAAAGAAGGGGAAAAAAATACTACTTTGACTCAATTCATAGCAATATCTTATTACAGGATTTTACTAATAAAAATTTATTGAAACTTAATAGCACAAAACCATGAAAGCCTAAAAATATCTGGAATAGCTTATTGGTACAGAAATATTTATCTTCTGAAACAATGAATGGAAAAGAGGTAGCTAGAGAAAACCAACCAAATTCTTATCAATATCAGTGTAGTTCAACAGGATTTAAGGGAAAAGTAATAGAAACATTGAATAATGTCTTTGGCTTCCAAGATTTCATAAACTCAGTCCAGGAAGATGCCATCAAAAGTGTAGCTTCTGCATCTCAAGATGTGTTTATCTCTATGCCAACAGGTGCTGGGAAGTCATTGTGTTATCAACTACCTGCTTTGGCTGGACAGAGAAATGGTGTAACAGTGGTAATCTCACCCTTGATTGCATCAATGACTGTCCAGGTAAAACAATTGCAATCTCGTGGAATTTGTGCAGAGACCTTAAATTGCACTGTGAGCAAAGAAGAAATAGCCAGAGTTAGTGAAGACCTGTGTTCTGCATATCCTTGTACCAAACTTTTATATGTTACTCCAGAGCAAGTTTTCACAGATGAATTTCATTCAATTTTGGATCAGCTTTGCAAGAATCGAATGTTTGCTTATGTAGCTGTAGATGAAGCTCATTGTGTCAGTCAATGGAGTCATGATTTTCACCCACATTATCTAAAGTTAGGAGAGTTAAGAAAGAAATATTCCAGAGTTCCTTGGGTGGCTTTGACAATAACAGTATCTGTGACTGTTATGAATGATGTTTTATATTACCTTAATCTTAAACCACCTGTTGCTGTTTTCAAGGCATCAAGTTTTCGTTCTAATATCTATTATGATGTTGTTTTCAAAGAATGCATGGATAATCCATTTGATGATTTGAAATCATTTGCTTTGTCAGCTTTAGGTAAAGAATGGGAATTTACTAAAAGAGGTTCTGGCATTGTGTATTGTCAAACAAAAGAATCCTGTGAAATGGTTGCTGACAAATTGACCAAGCTTGGTCTTAACTCTAGACCATGTCATGCAGGACTCAAAGATGAAGATCAATCCCAAGCTCAGCATGACTGGATGTTGGGTAAAATATCTGTAATTGTTACAACAATTGGCTTTAGAAAAGGCACAGACATACCATCTGTGAGGTTTGTTGCACATTGGTCAGTTGCCCATTCAGTTGATGGATATTATCAAGAGTCTGGGCAAGCAGGAGGGGATGGCCAGCCTGCTAGATGTCGTATATACTACTCAAGAGAGGACAGAAATTTAATTATGGATATTTTGAAAAAGGATGAGCAGGCAGCCAAGACCCAAGAAGAAAAGATCAAAGCTCATTCTGCTTATAAAAGCTTTAAAATCATGAGAAAATATTGTGAGGAAGCTCATTGTAGACACTCATTTTTGATGAAAGAGTTTGGAGATGAATTGTATAAATGCAAAAAATATTGTGATGTTTGTTATAAGCCCAGGTCAGTTGACCGAAGACTTGATCATTTTGAAGCTACAAGGGTGTCTAAAAAGAAAAATTCCAATCATAGTGTGGAAACAAGTAATGAGTTATATGAAGTTGAAAGACTGGAGCAAAAGAAAGAAATTTATAATTGCAAGAATACATCTGGAGATACCAACAGAGAAGATCACATTGATAGAGCAGTTAATAGTTTATCAAACACCATCAAAGCTGAATTAGGAAAAGTTAAAGACGAAAAGTTGATAAAACCACCCAAGAATTCAAGAGTATTAGAACCACTGAGCTCATTTATTTTAGACGTTAATGTTAATACTCGTGAAGAATATTTATCAAAGTTAGAAGAAGAGATAAAAGCTAACTATAACACCTGTACTCCTTTATTAAGTGGTTTCAGACTTGAAGAACAAGATATTTTAGACTGTGCTACTGATAAGGAATTTTCAATTTTTAAAACAAAAAAGAACATTGACATGTACAAAAAAGAATTTGCACAAGTCTTCAAAGCCTTGAGAGAGTCATCTAAAAACCTGGAACTTCATCCATTGTTAGTGTGTTTTGATGAATCTCACAGTGCTTCTAAAAGAGCTCGTAATGACACCTTAGTAAGTGGAAAAGACATATCAAAAGAGAGGTCATATAGTTTGTGTGACACTGTAACAAAATCTAGTTTATTAAAACAAGAAAAGCTTTTTTCCAGCTCTAAAGACTTGGCTAGTTCTACTAACTTAAGTAATATTGCTGTTATTCAGAGATCAAGTAATTTTGGTTATCAGTTGAAAAACCTGATTCCTAGCTGTGCTAGTTATTCTAGTATTTTTACAGGCACACAGAATATGGTTTTAAAACGTAATGAAGTTCAAGACTATGAAATACTAAAGACTCTGAACAGTACTGAAGAGGAAAAGAAAGAAAGTTCCTTTTCCTTTGAAAGGCCGCCATTTGCATATGAAAGAACTGGAGGTCCTGTTGAAATGGACATTGAAAAAATAGGAGCAAATAATTATGAATATGAAACTTGTTCTAGTTCTTTCAATCCATTAATGAATAATTTCATTGAAATTGATAATAGAAGTGGCACTAACAATAAAAGCATCAGTAGATGTGTGGAAAAAGAAGAAAAGTCAGTTTCTTCAAATTCTGGAAACAGTACTTTTCCACAAAAACGAGAAACCCATGATAATAATAACATTGAGATAGCAAAAAAGGCAAAAATTATGCAGTCAGCTTCTACTAATCCTGTACACTTAAAATCTGCTGCTGACTTAGTGAGAAAGTTTCTGAACCCTAAGTATAAAGAAAACAAGTTAAGCAAAGAAATGTTTAAAAAAATTTGCAGAACTTTGTCTCATAGATTAGTGGATCAGAACCAGGTAACAGAAAAGCATGCCAAAGAAGCTGTCGATGAATTATTCCAGAAAAAGAGGGCACTTAACTCTATCGATGATGTATAGTGAAAGAATAAAAGTGTTTTAAAAACATTTTCAGAACTTTATCTTATAGATTAGTTGATGAGAACCATATGACAGAAGAGCATCCCAAAGAAGTTGTTGATGAGAGAAACTTATGTATAGTGAATGTATAAGTGTACCATAGAGTTTATATTATGAACTCAAAACATACACATTGGCCTGACTTGTTTGTTTCCTAGATAAAAGGATAACATGTAATAGTAATGTGGTGGAAGATTGTACAACTTTAGATACTACGTTTTTTCTTTTTTTTTATAGATTGTTTTGTGTTTCTATATATTGTTTCTTTTCATCTTTAAGCAATTACTAAGAGCTGGTAAAACGTCAGTTTTAAATTGACAAAGAATATGCTTTCTTTAAAGAAAAACTCAAATATGTTGAATACTGAACAACATTTAAATTTAATGAAAATGTCAGTATTCCTTTTTTGTAATGAAAAATGTAGCTCTTTGATATCTCGTGATTTTCTTATATGAAAACTGAACTAAATTTACACTTTCGTGTAACCAGAACTAACATGCTTTATGATTTCAGGATTGTTATCTGATTAGAGAAAACAATTAAAAGTACCTCATTTATCTTGGTGTGTTTCAGTTGGATAACACTGCTTTAAACTCATCATTGTAAAAGCCCCAAAAATGTATGCTATGTTTCTGCCACCATATACATAAGTATATATAAATTTTGTTTTCAATGAATGATTTTAATTCAAGCTGGTATGTCAAGTTTACATACGTAGTTTATCATTCACTTCAAATTGTTAATGTATTTTAATTAACAACTTTTGACAAAAACTATTTATAATGGTGCAATGCTCACAAATAAATACATTAAACATATGGGACAACGGAACTTTTGCAGAAATACACTACTTAACTGAAAATCTTAAAGCTAAACTGTATGATTTCACTGTGTCTACAGTGAAATAATTCATCTTTAAGGATACAGTAGCTGTTCTGTGTAATCATTATTTTTTTTGTTTTCCTTTAAATCTTACTACCTGTTGTCATGTTATACTATTAAGTGAACACTTTTCCTTCACATGGCCATTAGTGTGCGTGGATTTGTAAGAACATTATGTGAGATCAATTGATACTGTCACATGTGAATGGTTTTTTTTTAAAGATATTTTCAAGTAAGTATAATAGGTTGGACTTCACAGCTTTTCTCCATTGTAATCATGATTAAAAGTAACTAATTTTTAAGTAAGTAACAAACATAATAAGTTTCTGAATACTGTTGTCAGTCATTAAAATTTGTATTGTCAAATAATACCCTTTTCTAGAGATTATGTATTCTCTATCTGTGACTGTTTTTGTGTAAGAGATTCTGTATTAAACAATTGTTCTTGACTAAACAGTGTTGTATTATGAAAAACCCTGTCATTGAAAGTGTTTGTGTAATTGACCTCTCAGTGTTCTGCATGCCAGACTTAGTCAGATAAGTAGCAGTTTGTAAAACTTGTAGTTTTGAGCTAAAGAAGAGGAATGTTTGAAAAAAATGTGCTTGTTACGTAATACTGTTGTCATCCTTTATTTTTTATCTAGCATAAAGCAGGCTTTCTGTATGGTTACAACTGTATGTATGATATGTAACTATAACATTCTAATCTTAATTTGGTTCAACCTTGTTTAAGTTTCCCACCACACATCACTACTTTAAGAGTAGGTAATTAAAATCATTGTGAATTAGATAAAACTGAAGTTTTAGTTCTTAATTTGTGTCCGTAATATGAGATTTGGAATACTTAAAATTGTGGTGAAATTGACATTATTTTCATCAGTATGATTGTTTGTAGCTGTCTTCCTCCCTCTAGTCACTTCTTATTTTGTTGAATAATTTTGTGTCACCATCTTAAAAGATTGGGAAACCAAACAACTAACTTGAAATAAGGCTGGTCAAACTTTTAATGGAGTTGTCGAAGTACTTTTCCATGAAGGTTTCTGTTCATAAAGTGAGTGGTAGACAATATATGGTATCAGATATGTTTGATACTAAAACTCACACCAGTGTTGTTGACAGCACTTGAATAATTTACAGTTGAAGATGTTAGTTATTAAAGTACAAACAGATATAAGTTATCTACCTCCATTGTTACTACTCAATCATGTCTTAGTAATTCTAATGTTTTTCTTTGAAATTAATCATTTTCAGGCTTTCTAAAAGTCCATAAACTCTTTAGTTGATAAATAAAGAATACAAGTGCAAATTAAGACTTCTAGAATATCATAACATGATCAAGAATGTGAAGTTCCTTGTATAATTTTCATCTACTACTGAATTGTGATAAACTTTTTTTTCTTAAATACCCTTGTGCTCTAATAATCAGATTAGTTGAAATACATTGAGTTACATAATATTAACCATTACCTTTAGTGTATGAGAAGTTAAATGTGTTATATGTGTGTGTTCAGAAGTTAAAATAGGCATAAAACCTTATAGTTTCAGGATCTATAACTAGCAGAGCACTTGATCATCACTAGACACTAATATTTTTATGTTGGTATATATTTATATTATTGTACAGGAATAGAGTTACCAGATTTCTAAAGTAAAAAACTGGGACATTGTAACAGCTCTAAAACAGAAGTTACAATAATGCTTTTTACCATTTGCTAAATAGTCAGAATTTGATTTCATAGTGTTTTAAAATCATAAACAACTTTTATTAAAACTTTATCTAGTTAAAAAATAATAATAAAATAAAAAGTGTGTGTAAGTTGTCTTGAACATACTTAAAAGAAAAATGTTGCTTCATAGTTTTCCATTTTTATAGCTGGGCAGGTCTTCAAACCTCATTTCAAGCAGCTGCCCAATGGCATGCTAGGATAAGAAAACACAATCTATCTTTGTCAGGTGATTCTTCAATTGTAGTTTTGTAAAGCTGTATGTAATGACAAACCTACATATCAGATTCACATTGAGGTACACAGAAACTGGAACAATTTAAAACTTTTACTGTTTTCAATCAGACAAAATATAAAGCTATAAACTGGGACAACTGGTAATCTTATACAGGAAACCAAATGTTAATATAATTTAATAATAAATATTTTTCTTGCTTCATACCCCATTTTCAGGCTTACTGTATAAACATGATACTAAGGCTACATGAGATTTGAAATTCTCAGTTTAGTGAACAGTTCCACAGTGATTAAAAACTATTTGGAAATGTTTAAAACAATAACAGTTAGCTTAGAAACTCAGTACATACATAAAATGCAGTCTTGAAGTCTAGTATTGCAGTTTATTTTATTCTTTATACTTCTAGCAGTCACAGTTGAAATGAATGTTAATTTACCCCTTTCAACATCACTAGAATATATTGGTAGTGAGCTATATTCAGATAATTTTTCTTAATTTTCTTGCAGATATTTTGCATATTGCTTATGACATCTTTATAAACTAGATGATGCTTTTGCTTAAGAACATGTTATGTATAACAGTGGCTATCTCATACAAGCTGATATTAAGTTTGGTCCTGTGTCTATGTATGCTCCTTGAAGTGGGGGAAGCAAATCTCAAGATGCTTGAAAAAGTTTTGAAGAGCTGGAAGTTATCTTCTATGAATATGTGATTTTGAATTGTCTGACAGGTGATTATAGATTACTGGATATTGCACTTGGACTGTTTAATCTGACTTGAAAATACATTACAACATTATTTTCTTCCTATCCTCCTGTGTGAATGTGTTTAGGAATCCTTCTGTCTCACCAGTCAGTTTGAATGCAAACTGTTATGAAGCTGTCCAGCTCTTTGGTAGACTTTTCATTATAGTGAATAAATATTTTGTTTACTTCCTCCTTTGTTTATTTATTTTACTTTGCTGTCCATGTTGAATTTATTCTATATGTAATAGTTCTGATCCTGCATTTTCCAGATACTTCAACCAATCTGTTGATATGAGTGTACATAAATTTCATAGACAAGTTAAAATAATATTTGGGTGCTGTGGCCAAAGAGTTTGTTATTGGAGATATTTTTTTATATTTTTAGATTGAATTCACACTTTAACTGTACATAGTCTTCAACAATGCCCTTCCATGATCACAATATACAAATGTAAAAAGCATGTGTGACAAGGAGTGCTCTCTTAACCCCAGCAATTTTTGCTAGCAGTGGTGAGAGCTACATCATTTTCACTTTATTCTTGAAACTATAAGGTTGATACGAGCCTAGCTGGGTAATCCTAGGTACCGCTGATGTATCTTTTGGTGGTTACCTCCCGTTTTGTGGAGCATAGGATAGCAGGGAAGGGTTATGGTGGCATCAAGCAGCCTAAACATCCTAAAACTTGTTAAGGTTATTTGTATGGGACTCTTAAAGGCACTTGTTAAGAATTCCAGGTGTGTAAAGTGCTGGCTTGAGTTACCAGTGCTCAAGAAGAGTGAGAAGATGTGCACACTGGAAGAAATCCAACATGCTTCTTCACAATACCAACAGGTAGCATCTTATAGTTCAGCAGGATTAAGAGTTAATCAAGGTCATTTTAGGTCAGTAAGGCATACTGCTGATGCTCCAAAACCACCTTCATCAACCAAAGACATTTTTGGATGTAACGATGAAGTATTGTATAATAAATTGCATTATTAAAAATCATAATGACCTCTGTTCAAGGAAGTTCTATTTTTCAGGATGTGAATACATTCAATGTCCAGAAGACAAGGGCTTTCATCAAGTATGCACATCCTCTTAGCTTCACAGCAGTAGAGAAGCTGAAAGCAAGTTACTCTCAACACCATCATTTAATTGTAGAGGTGGTGGGAAGCAGATAAACAGATTTAAGGGAACTTCAAGGAGAATTTGGGTAGATGCTGTTTGAAATAGATGAACTTGAATGGGTCTAGACAGTCCCATGCTTAATACTTGGGAGAACTGAGACTGGAACACTTGTCAAAAAGTTGCTGTGCAAATTTGATCCAGTGTAAAACAGCAATCCACAGGATAGAGCTCAAAACTCAAAAGTGGAGGCCTTTCCAAAACTTGGCAATTTAAGAAGATTATTTGGGAATGCATTCATAAGTATATCTCCTGCAGATTGTGATGAGATATTCATTGACAAGTTTGTAGAAAGCCTGCTGGGTGATGTCATGAGGCACCACATGTCTAAGGGATTTGTTTCTCATTAAGACATTTTCAGTGTCAACAAAGTTTTGAAGCACTAATGTGGAACCGTGCTGAAGGAGAAGAAAAAGCAACGGTAGTGGCTGCTGCAAACTCAGCTCAGAGACAGTCTCAAAGTTCGTTATTGCCACCAAGATATGACAGAAATGGAGTTTATGCTGCAAGCTGTTGTGGCACAGGCATTGTGGTTGCATGATTTCCCTGGTGCAGATACCATAGCAGTGCGAAGAATGCATCCAGAATTGAAATTCAAAGATGTCAAAGAGTGCTAGGAAAGAAACCCCTATCTTCAACTGTAGCTTAGGTGTTAACTGGTTTTGAAAATGTCCATACACTTTTGGCAAATAGGACTGTCAAATGCAAGTATCATTTATGTTAATGGTGTAACATATTCAGGAAGGTTACTAGTAAGTTACTCCAGCTAGTTTAAACTAGTGGGCCATGAGATGAATTTTGCCACAAGCTCAAGTAGTCGTAGTACACACAAAGTTATGGTGAATGGTTCCAAGAATAATAGAATCGTGTGGTATATACTGTTGCGTATCTACTTGTTTGTTAACTTCCGGTATAAATTCTTTCCAAGGAACTTCAGCGATACAAGTCCTTTCTTGATTAAACCAGTGTATTCTTTCTCGATACAAATTTTAGTAATACACAGAATTTCTACAGTCACTTTAAACTTAACAACCTTTATAACACATGCTATAAATCACAGTGATTCACACACTTTAGTTACTGTGCTTGCTGTTCGCTTGACTTAATTATCTATATCTGCTTATATCGGTGGCTTTCTTTGCCAGGCTTATATACTAAAAAAGAGGGCATCTAGCAATCACTCGAACATTCGCAGGGTTCCCCGATAATTCTAGAAACACCAGCGTGCAGGCTCCCAGCATCACGAGACTTCTGCTGTCTTAACACTGCCCCTTCCTTAGTATTGTTCATCCTGAACAATAGCCACTTACGTTTAACCAATAGATAATTAACAATAACTTAATTAAATGTACAGTATTTACAAACAAAATTAAAATACAACAAAGTCTCTTAATTTTACAGGACATATCTTCTTCCGTACTGGTCTCTGTCTCATTGGCTTGGTTCATCTGCTCTATCAGGAAATGTCCCATTATCGGTAGCAGTCACATCATTGGTAGTAA